AGACTGCGTTGCTACATGATAGCAAAAAAAGCCAAGTATCTGCTCAGTCACAAATGCAAAACTTCCTCAAACTGCCTGAAACTCAAGGTAAAGTGGGGGCAGGTAAGAAATTAATTTGTTTCCTTCGTACTTCTGTACATGCCACTAGCAGCCCCTCTTCAACTGCAGGTACAGCCACCAACCTTGTTTTCTTGTTTAGTTGAAATTGAATATACAGATCTAGAGATTACTCTGACAAAATTTAGTATTCCAGAAAATAGGAATTGCTGGGAAGAACACGGGTAATGTACAGCTTCAGGAATACTAACCTGTCCCCCTTTCTGTTGGCCACGTCATATGGACGGAGAAAATCCAACTTGCTCTTGCTTATGACACAGATATCGATGTTACTGCCGGAGCCCAGATCATTGTATATGCCGGCTGCAATGGCATCTCTCACAAGCTGCTTGGCTTCCTCTTCCTGGAAAAGTCAGAAAAGCTGTCATTGCACAAGCGTTGGCATTTCACAGAAATGTTTGTCCACGTGACAGTGGAAGCTGTGAGCGCTCAGAACAATCAGTGAGACACCAGCGCCTTCCGAAGCACCCAAGTACTGCAGAGCGCTGGCAACAGCCTGCTGCGCGGTGGGACCATTAAGGGACAGCCTTTGCTCCTGCTCCTGATCCGCCCCCCAGTACAGACAGTCAAGGAAGCGAAGTTAAGATTCCTGTCTTAGCAAATGGATAAAATAAGTTTTACAATTTTTACCTTCCAGGCTTCTGTGCACGTGTACATCACAAGTTCCCTGAGTGCCCTCTGCACAACAGTTGCATACAAATTAAAGATTCATGCTAGTTTAGTTCCCAGACCTCCCTAGGTGTTTAATCCTCCTCTGTAGTACCAAAATTATTTCAATGATTTTGTACTGTAGCTTGGTTTGCAAAATTTATTCAGCTCATCTTAATATTAACTGTGTCACAAAGCAGCCTAGCTCTGCACCGAATTGTAGCTGGCTAATATTTTTGATTCCAGTCCTGAACACAAGTGCAGAGAATTTAAAGAAACCTGCTGAAAATGCTAGTCACACTCTGTCAAAATACCACAATTTGTAGTTAAGTTCTTACCATTTAAGTGGGGGAGGGGGGGAGTTTGCTAGTTTCTTTTCTGCTGTACACTTCAGAAATTCCATAGGTAACTAAAGCAAAATATATTTCATATAGTTCATTTAATGCATATTGTACATTTCAAAAGTGTGTGTATTTCTGAATTGCTTTCTACAACTAGTAGAATCATATTTGCAACAAAACCAGAATAGAAAACTAGAACAGGAAGTAAAGCTCACTGCTTTTATTGCTTCCGAAACCAGGCACAAATCCTGCAAGAGTTCTAATGGTTGCTTTCCCACAGGTTTTGTATCTCCGCTTGCTTTTAAAAGGGCAAACGTGCAGCTGCCGAAATACACGTAACTGGGAGACATTTACTACTTAGAAGCTGTCTAAATAGCCTGGAACAGCGTGCAGTAGTGTCCGCCTTAGTAGCGGACCACACATAAGTAGCATTCGCATGAGTGTCTTCACAAGGAAACATTTCAAATTCAAACTCTGTTAAAATATTACAACAGATCTGTAATCATCTCAACCCCCCCAATAAAGTTCATGAATGGTATCGCTGTGAAGGCGTCAGAAATACGAGTTTCGATACGCCTGATACCTCCTGTGTCCTAGCGCAGGCTATTACAGCTGCGCTGGCTCCCTCTACAGATCCCAGGCAGCGCTTATTTTTATTTCAAAGGCAGCTTATTGAAAAAAATCACAGATCAGCTCCAGCGCTGTAAGAAATAATCTGATACGGCCAGTAAATCCTTAGTTTTGCACTGTACCCGAAGACAGTGAGCATGAAATGTTGCAAAAAATTTTCTTGATGTATCATTTTAAATCTTGTCGTGTTCTCAGGACCTACACGTGCCTGTCCTTACGACAAGGGGCACGCTACCCCTTGACAAAGCCCTACAATCCCGGGGCGGGGTGGAGCCCACTGTCCCACACCTCCTGCCCTGGCACAGAGACACAACCAGGGAGGGCGCGTCCTGCACCCTCGGCTCCGCTAACGCAGTACAGAGTAAGCACTGGTGCTCCAGTCCTCCGGCAAAAGTGTCGGAATAGCCAGAAAACAGGTTGTGTCCATACAGCTATATACACATACTTGTAGCTTTTCAGTAACCTCTGAAGTACCAGAGCACACAAGACCCCTTAATTCTTCCTCAAAGGTGTATAAGGAACTAACTTGAAAACCGACTAGTGCGTGCCTGTTCCAGTAAAGAAAAAAGACCGAAACACATCTATGAACACAGACATTTGGACTCCATTTTATCCTCATTTATGGCAGCTGCTGCTCAGCTATAGCCCAACATGATCCTAACTGAATGCGAAGTTTACCAGTCATTGCTTTGCTGGTATTTCACACCTTCGACACCATGAACAGAAGAGCAAATATTCAATGCTGATTTTGATAAATGCAGCTTTTAAAAATTTGCTTCGTTTTAAAGGCCTCGCTGTCACTGCCAGCATCCTGCCACGTGAAAATAGTGATGCTGAGCTCCACAGCCCACTCCTAGAACGTCTCCGCTGCAGACAGCGGCTGCACAAGCCCCAGCGTACAAGTGCAGCTGAAGAGGAGCCCAAAATTAGCTCAGCTACAATCACGTCTGCTCCCGGTGCATACTTTGCGTTCTCCGATGGCCCTCTAGAAACGAACTTGTTAATAACACTATTCCCGTCCTAGCAGCTTAATTAAGGTATTGACCAGGAGAGGGGCATTTTTTTCAGTAAACTATACTAATAGCATGGATTCTTATTTCACTCCCAGTTTTATTAGTATTACTCATTTTAAAAAAAAATGTATTACTCTTTCTACCAAGCTAACTAGAACAAAACAGTCATACTGTAAAAATAATTCCTGTACCTTTCTTCAGTGTTTTTGGTAATAAAACTCTGATAAGCAAGTATTTCCTCATTCAACTGACAAAAGACTACCTTCACTGATTTGTTGCATGCTAAGGGTAGTTTAGTACTGTAGTGAAACTAAATACGCTAAAATAAATCAAAGAAGTACGTGTAGCTATGTTTTAAAACTTAAAGTGGTAGCAAAACCAGACTAACGTTACACTATTATGTGAGCGTTAGTGTAAGAAAAGCACTGCAGCTTAGGAAAACTACAGCAGATTGGCGGGGGTTTGTTGCACTCCCCCTTTTCATTTAATCTTTTTTTAGGTAACAATATAAATCTCACAGAGTCCTCGCACTAATTTTATTTACTTTTTAAAATGTACTCTGTCAACCTACTGTTATCAAAATCGTTCTAAAAATAGCCAGTACGGTCAGTAGAGCTCAGCTGTAACTGCACTAAGGCATCCACCACACCAAGAAAATCTAAAAATGTGATCTCGGCTCTTTCATCTGCTATAGTGCAGCCTCGTTCATGAACCTGGAATAATTTTAGTTTTAGAAAACTCTGCTTCAGTGCTGTTTACTACTACTCCTCTTTCTGTAATTTAGAAAGATGACCAGAATAGCCACAAGTAAAAAAAAAAAAAAAAACACCCCACAACGTTCCTTGACAGAGATCCTGCACACGAAGTTCCAGCAAGGACTGCTATTTTACAATCAGAAAATAGGGGGTTATCATGAAAAGCGCTGACACAGCCTTAAGTACAGGGGCACGAATGAGTCCCTGCAATAATTAATCTTAAAAAACCCTAAAAGTTCAGAGTATATAAAAGGAGCACTTCCTACTTTATGGTTGCAAAGACCAAGCTAACTGGGAATATCATTCTCTCGGGTCCACGCTGCTTCTTAAATGAGATTACAGCAGGAGTGATGTACTGTACCACAAGTCGGTTGTGACAAGCAGCACTTTATAGAGCTATCTGTTAGTCTCCATCACCACATCACACAATGTGTCCCCGGACTCCAATGTGCAACTCCATTTACCGCTACATGACAAATGGGCGGCACTTGTAAAAGGCGCAAAGAGGTCCAGCTCAGCCGTGTAATGGTCACCGCAGATGCACCACAGTGCTTGAGGGGGGAAAAAACAGACCCCCAAGTTCATTAAAGTGACCAGTAATGGATCTTTCAAAACGTGTCTTAGGAATAGTACAGTAAAGGCTAAAATAAATAACTCAGCATGGAAGGCTAATCTGAAATGGTGTTTGATAAATTATTTATAACACAGACAATTGTCTGCATTTAATATTGGAGCTACTGGTAGCATCTTTAAAAGATGATTTATGTGCTGTAATGCCATTAAGCTTTATATGGGCCCGCTGCTAGCTATAAAGTCTGCTGAGATTTAGAGAATGAGTTTTAAACTGTCACTGCAACATCATAGTAGATAGAGACTGTATTAAATCTTTACTTTAAACCTGTTATCTGGAGAGTTGCATTTTGTAGACACTCAAGAACTGATAGATTACCTCTCCACAGCTGCTACGGTGCGAGTCCCAAACAGCACCAATAAGGAACTTTTACACATTTTTCTTGTATATGACTTGATTCAAGTTCCTCTTCTCACTTAAGCAATTTCCAGATTTCAGATGCTACTGAAGTAAAAAAAGAAGAGAGACTTTCCTACAGAAGATGGGGATATTTCCACATCATATTAATACTACCTTTACTAATAGCTTTTAAACAAGTTTATCATTATACCTTCAGCAGTAAAGGGAGCAGCTGGAACGGCTTTGTCAGTATCATTTCCTCAGCATTCTTTAACTTGCTTGCAAAGTTACACAGGAGATGTCTTTTCCAGACTTAAAAACTGTAGAACAGATTTTTTTTTTTTAAAGGATTTTTTAAAAAAATTCTTACCAAAGTGAAATTAATACCTTCTGCAGGTCACCAGTATCCTGTTAGATATACGAGATGTAGTGCAGTTCTCCAATAATAAGTCTTATCAAGAATTTGAAATACAGTACACAGTGAATATTAGTATAGGATGAATATGATTGTGTAACAATTTTTGTAAAAGTAAAAAAATTCAAGTATTTATCACAACTGTCTTTTACAACAGAATGAAATCTGTTGAAATTATACAATGTAAAAAGTCAGTGCTACTTAGTGAGGACCCACAAGACTCACATGGGAAAAGAAGGATGGGGGGGGAAATCAGAAGCTTCAGGAAGGACAATGGTAATAAAAAAAAAATCTATAAAGGAGTGTTGGGAATTTAGGGCTAGGAAAGTGCTACCTCTTGAAGGACATAAGCACCTACAGAAGCATAATTAGACTTTGGAAGAGTAATCAGCAGACTGCAACACGTGAGAGGAGGCACACGCCTGCCTGCGGGGAGAAGCTGTGGTAGAGATCAATATGTAACGAAGCAATGCTAAAATCTGCTGGCCAAGTCCAACGAGAACAAAACTGAGAAGCAAAGTATTTTGTGTTTTTCTTGTAAGGGGAGGTTGAAAGACTCTGTTAGTGAGAA